GACACGACGGCAAAACTCCCTAAATGGCGTCCTCGACGAGACCACGACGGCAAATACGCGAGGCTGGAGTTCTCGTGCGCACGCCCGGTTGTGTAAATTTACTTCCGGTAGCCGTCCTAGCTCGTCCCGTCGTCCTATCTTAAGGTCCCTAATGAAAAGGTAATCAACTATACAAAAATTTCGTTCTCGACTGTTATATTTTGAGAGTCATTAATAAGGTTGTATCCACAGCCTAATATGAGAAATTTGAAATTTCTATCAGCTGAAGTTCTTTTGCTGCATATTATATATATTCAATCGCCCCCAATTCACGTGGAAAAAAGGCAAGTAGGAAAACACTGAGCTTCGAGAAACAGCCAAGTAAAGGCTAACGTGTTTACCATTCCTTAAATATTTATAATCAAGACCACTCGTTTAGGGGACCTTTTCTCAAAAGATCCACACGTGAAAATAATTCTGTTTTCCGTTAGAAATCTTTTTCTTCCTATTCAATTGAACAATTGACTTAGCGTTCGAGCCGAGAAAAAATCACAAAGTTTGAGTTCTGGGATGTTATCCACCGTTGGCCTCATCAAGTTACGATTCTGGACCATTGACGCTCGCGAAAATCTATCTTGATTGACTACCAAGGACTGTATTTCTTATCTTGTAAATTAAGGTCTGTACATGAAATTGAGTTCATCATCTGGTTCATTGTTATAGTCAGCTTTAAAATTTTAACTCTACTCGTTCTGACAAGAAGCCACTCTAACAGCAGGTGAAATGTTGTGTAAGCGTCTCCGCGAAAGGCACATCCAGACAACTTGCATGGAAAAACTGGCCACAGCTATCGCACCCGAGCCAATCCTCTTCAACGTCATCTTTGCGAATCTTACAGACCTTGGTATTTCTCCTATAATTGAACAAAAGATATGGGAGGTCAAAGAGAGTGTTGCGGTGTTTAACAAACAATGGTATTTGACACCATCAAAACTTACCAATCAAGGTCATCGTGACACGAGCAAAATATGACAGACGTTATTCTTTCCCTTTCCATGTCCACATCGTAACTTCCATTGATATCTAACCCCTCACACAAACACCGAGCAAAATTTAAAACAAACAAAGAGACATTTAATACATTCGAAACCAGGATGCAGTCATATTAAGGTGAGCTTTAGCAAGTGATTATGCTACTCACAAGACATACAACCACACCACAGTTATAGCTATCGGTCTGTGTGTAATGTAGTGGTTCAACACATGGCCATGACTAGCAATTCCATCCCGTTTTGAGATCAGCAACAGCACTGCAGAGTCAAACAAAATACAGCAATTACATAAATATGTTTTGACTCTTTACATCAAAATAAAAAGGAAAACACTGAGTAGAAAATATTTCACCTAATGCCATCGATCAATTCTATCAGTTTGCTCTTAGGAACCGAGGTACTGCTCAAAATGGTGTATACACGCCCATTCATGGGATCGAAGTAATATCTGGTTTTCTGCTTTCGATCCAGAACCTTTAAAACAAAAGCAAGAGAGCGCTTAAAGATTTATTTATAATGCAAATTCCAGTTGAGAGGTTCTTGATTAAAGTGCGTTATTCAAAAAGATTAATATCTTAAGGTCCTAACCAGAAGTGTCCAGTGATTTCCAGACTTGTTCGTGGGTATAAATATTTTAGAAATCTGGGTAAAGTTCTCTCCTGACCAAAGCAAGC